CATGAATGCTACATCAGCCTCAGCATGGGGCACAGCATATAGAAGACAAAGAAAAGCCGAAATTTAACGTGTCCCGCTGAGTGGTTGCTTGAGGTATCAAAAACAACGTGAAAGACAACAAGTTACCGTAAAATCAAAACAAAGGGTGAACGTGCGGATCAAAATGTTGTCCACAAAAGGATTGATGTGAGTATCGAAGCGGCCGCGTTTAGTTTTTCGAGCAAAACGGATGTTGGTTGACGCATTCTGCTTCTCTTATGATCGTAGCAATTATGTGGGTTATTGATGTGGAGCAAGGTCGCAAGTACACTGTCGACACGTTCAGTGAGCACTTCTAATGTAGGGGCAGAGTTGACCAATTCTGAGAGGGAGTTTCGCGTGTAGCAAACAGGTAACTAGAAGAAATTCCGAAAATAGTCCAGGCGACTGTATTGCTCTGTCAATTTGACACAATCTTCTCTCAGTCTGTTATTATGACTGAGCTTGAACAGATGATAGAAGCTATGACTAGAGTTGCTTATAATCTGTCAGCAGGAAAACGCCGATGTCGTCTGCCGCAAAATCCCTCGCAATCTCAGTTGGTACTCTTATGGTAAATTTGCTAGACATTTAACGCCTTTAATCGCCAGATTTTGGGGAATCTCCAAAATTATGACCTTCCGCTTCTGCTTAGCTGCCAGACTTGACTTACATATTTCGCGTGAGAGCGTGTGTGCGTAGACAGCAGTTGGAGGACCCAGAGGAGTCAGCAAGCTCCCCGTAGGAGCCCCACGCATAGATGACCACTTTCGATGATACTGCGGATCGATTCGGACAGCAGAGGTCTTTCTAAATGAGCACGCCGATGTCAGAGGACCTAATCACAGGGTTTCTAGTTGTGAACCACTGGCTGTCCTAAGCGGAGCACTCAACTTTAGTTGCATTGAAATGAAGAAGTTTCGGGACTTATCATCAGTGAACATTACTGAGGTGTGCCCGAAGTAGTGTGTGGTCATCTGGCGTTTCGACAGCCCATCGTCTTCCTAGGTTGTCATCGTAAAGTGTACAGTTTGAAGTGATTCCGCTCACCATATCCTTAATAACGATCAGATGCAGATAGCGCCTAATACTGAAGCAGTGTGATATATCGCATTGCGCTTAGAATAAAATCTAACACGGAACCACACGCTTTTGCCTGTGCAGAAGAGAAATGTCAATGCCGTATCTCAGAAGCTTGACAAGAAGAATGCAATCGTCCAACCTATTGAATGTGCTGTAGATTTCAAGATAGATATCACCTCCCGCACCAACAATCACTGTTTCAGTCCAACCGGTTAGTGCATATAGTAGATCGGTAGCGCACCTCCGAATCGAAGGAAAACCAGATGAATCAAGACCAGAAATCAGTTTAGGGTTAAGAATTCTTTTCGGTAAACTCTTCAGACCCAAACATTTATATAACACTGATTGTATGGGGCAAGCGTCAAATCGGGCTAGGATTGATTTCTAAGATGTTTAAACGATCAAGATCGATGACACATAATTCCGGCCGGAATTATGTGTACACAAACGTTTCATACGGCCGATAGTACTATCGTGGCCGACTGATATGGTTACTTAATTCCCTTCGGGATCATTCCTATTTTAGGTTGCTGATGCTTGTGCATTAAGTTTCCTTTGATGCACTTTCTTGCCATCTGTAGCCGCATTTAATCATTGATCTTGACCGTTTAAACACCTTAGAAATCAGTCCCAGCCCGATTTGACGCTTGCCCCATACAATCAGTGTTATATAAACGTTTGGGTCTGAAGAGAGTTTACCGAAAAGTCTTCTTAACCCTGAACTGAGTTCTGGTCTTAATTCGTCTGATTACAATGGGAATATTTGCTGTGCTGAAAATCAGCATTGCCCGTGATTCGTCGAAGGAAAACCACGTTGCATGTGGGCCATGTAGCAATGATTAGTAACAATAGTCACAATAGCTTTGAAATCACCTGCTGGAGAGTCAATGGACGGTACTTGTCTACATCGGAATGACAACGCTCGATGTAAATTGGAGGCATAATCCCTTGTTAACCACACCGTAGGTAAGTGCAGTTCATCAAAGCTGTGCCATAAGAATTGCGCCAAAGGTACAGTCAACTCCTAAGATGCCACGGCAGATTCCTACAGATGAATATAACTAAGTCCTTGATAGCTGTGCACGTGGGTGGATAGCAGCTCTCTCGTCACGGTAGTTGCAGCAAATGAGATTTACTTAAACTATGCTGGTGGCCCAATACACTCTAATCCACTACAAAGTGGATGGATTAACAAGTGAAATCCTTTACCAATCTGCAGAGTCCGAGTAGCCTTCGCTAATTTTCAATATCACTGTCGCCAGGGTGATTTCGGTTTCTCACTAAATGGTCGAGTTTGCATGCTACGAATGTGGGACTTGGCCCACTCGTGAGATCGATGTTCAAAGACTGTCTGTTTTCGATCACCACTGCCTCCGGAGCATCACTGGTGTATGTTGGCATCACCGCCTTGGTAATGATAAAGTCCGACATCCGACTTTCAAGTCAGACATACTCTGCCAACCGCTGAGTTGCATAACATCCCTGCACAGGATCCGAGGGCTTGGTCTTGTGCTTCGTATGCCTTGCGGGTGCCATCCTTGGGAGCACCGGTGTTGGTTGTAGGTGATGTAGAGATGGCCAACAAGCAACTTGGGTTCAGCGACTACAGGCGCCTGTATCTAAGTTAGCCGCAGTTGACTCTCGGATTGAGGACCAAAAGAGCACAAGCATATCCGTTTGGAAAGACTAGTGGACATAGCCCAAAACCGCACTCAACGGTAAACACGCGGTGAAAATTTCCTCTCCCGACAGCCTATTTTCCTATTGTTTATAGTTTTCTTGTGCACGCATTTCCGCACACTGTAAACTGTTGATATATATATATATATATATATATATATATATATATATAACATCAACCTCTCCGATAAGATCATGTGTTCCTTGGATGTGGAATCTCTATTCACCAATGTCCCACTACAACAAACTGTTGTTTACATATGTGAGTTAGTTATTCGTTGCCAATTCCGATCGAATTTCTAAAGGAATCCTTACTTCTGTGTACAGCAAATGTTGGCTTCCACGTTCAGAACACCCCATATTGTCAAATCGATGGTGTGGCAATGGGTAGCCCACTACGCCGATTTCTTCATGCTGATGATAGAAAGAGACATATCCACAGAAATAGCCCAGTTGCCATACTATAAGCGTTATGTTGATGACATATTGGACTTTCGTTCATCGGAGTAGCAGATTGTCTAGTTGATGCAGCAAATCAACTACGCACATACCAACTTGCGAGTAACCTGCGAAGTGGAACTGTCTCCCATTCTTAGACATCCTCATCAGTTGCAGGGATTACGGGCTGATTAAAAGATCTATCTACAGAAAAGCAACCTGGTCCGGCCAATACCTGCACTTCACCAGCTTCACACCAGTGCGGTACAAGCGGACTCTTGTGAAAACTTTAGTTAGTCGTGCTAGGCGGATTTGCTAACCTGATTGTTTAGCCGACGAGCTAGAGATAATTACAACAACACTCGTTGTCCACGTAGATTTATAGAGAGACACAGTCAACAGCGAGGACCGAAAGACTGGGTGCATACGGTAGCCAAGAAAAAGATCTATATTGAGTTGCCTTTCAACGGTGACTTGACTGTATTGAAAATCACGAAACGTTTAGTCTCTGTTACGCAGAGAAGTTACCGTGCTGCTCAGGTTGTGATCATCAATAGAACCTGTAACTTGCCGGTGCCTCCAACGAAGGAAGCTCAACCGATAGGTGTCAACTCACATTGCATATACAAATTCGTGTGCGACTGCGGAGACAGTTACATAGGCAGAACCAATCGGTCTTTGACTTCCCGAATAAAGGAACAGGTGCCAAGGTGGGTTCAACGTGAAATTGACCAGCATCCCTGTCCCACTGAAGTTCTGTGCTTGCGCAAACCGCCAGCTTCCTCAATATGTAAACATCTATTGACTGCGCGTCACTGGATAGAGCTCGGATCAGCGTTCACACTTGTATTACGTCACCCTAATCCCCGCTTTCTCCGTTTCGCCGAGGCTGTTGCGATAAGCCGGATGAAGCCAACCCTGTGTGTTCAAAAGCAATTATTTATCAGCTTAAGACTGCCGTGGACATAGGGGTGGAACTTCCGTCATTCATTTTATACCTCATGCTTATTCGGTCACACGCATATTTAAGTATATAGTTGCATACCGGTTATTGTTAGTGGTACTGAAGAGAATACGAAATGCATGCATCTACCAGTTTTCGTCTTCTTACCGTGCTTTTCACACACATATATATATATATATATATCAATTATAGAATCACATCCGAAAAACGCGTACACAAAATTTGCGCACAGTAAACAGCGCACATGCAGAACGGGCACACGGAAATGTGCAAGTTCGATCGATTGGCAGATACTCCACTGGCCTACGTAGCAAAGGCCTCGCGATTCATTCAGAGTACTCGATAGAAGGTGCACTGCTCACCTACAGCAGTTTGTCATGGCCTCAGTGGTTCGGTAACTCTGACGCAATCGGTGTGAACAGATGGACTTCGTGGTTAACTTTGCCTCCTTTGATGAGTTTGTTGACCGGCTTTCGATGAGTGGAACCCTGGCCGGCATTAATGACATTCGATCGCAAGCGTTTCACCAATGGTAATGCACATGTAAGAGTACTCCCACAGAGAAACGCTGACACGGAAAGTTTGTAGTAGTCTGGAGATTTCCTCGGTTTGCTTGAGTACAATGTGCGAAATTGAAATCGAATTTACGCTTAGCACACAAGGGTAACACATCACAACTGCATGTCAACCACATCCACGCTTATACCTATAATGCTGGTCGAGTACCTAGCGCCGGTTAAAAGAAGTTTAGAAACATATATGGACGGATCTACACCGAAATACTTGTAGCGTGCAACGGGTTTTGATGCAAACTCACCTCGTTTGAAGTTCAGCAAGAACCATCGATAGCAAAAGTATAAATTTGCAAAATTTCCTGTACTCTGAAAATAGGTAGCCAGTTCTGGGTCGGTCGCCTTTCAGAGGATTTGCGGAAACGGAAGAAGGCAGATGATATATATCAGACCGGGAACCATATGCGTGTAAATTTTGGCGACTCAATAATAGTCCATAAACATCACCACGGAAAACACGGAAGCTCATTTACCAGCCTCGTAAAAATACAGTTAACAAAGGGGTTAATATTAGTTGCAATTTCCCACTTTTCTTTGAGTGCATGTGAGAAGTTAGGTATGTGGACGATTCGTTTAAGTCGATAATCGCGCTAATGCGATCACGTAAACCTATCATTCAACACCTTGTGTTGAGGCGAACAAAACTAAGTTTTGACAAAATACGGCGGCTACCAACCGTAAAGAAACATTAGAAACTTCTGTCGTTGAGTTTCACTTGTATGTGCTGATTTTCGGGAGCCCGGTTAGGTAAGAAATAATGAAAGTAGTTTCTTGTGCAGCATACAGTTAAGGACGACGACAACAACGACGACGACGACGACAACAACAACCAGAAACAGCAGTTATGCCAGTACCGCCTACGAGTAAGTACTTGATTAGGCAGCACGCATTTTACAGCGTTGATTATGAGGTCAGCTGCAGTTAACCAGTTCACTAGACAGTGAACCCTAAACAGTATGTGCCAAGGCCTCACAGGTGGTTCTCCACAATGCAACACTTGGCAAACCGGCATTCAGACCACCGATTTGAGGATTACGTGCGACCAAAGTGCAGCTAGGAGCGGGAACTTTTTGTTAAACATGTGGTAGCACCAGTTACATGCCAAAAACATTATGCTATTTTGCGAAGACGGTTATTAATAGAAGTTCGCATTGAGATTGCACGTCACAATTCAAAAACACGGGGGTACTACAAGGTCCAACAATGGACTTCTAATCGATGTATCAAGTGCCGCTTGCCGAGATCTGGCTTGGTGACTGAGACGAAAGCCGTCAACCCCTATGAGCTAAATACTACTATTACCTCAGGTAATCCATAGCTGAAGACGATACCGGTCACGCAGTGAAGTATGGGGGGAGAAAGCAACGCCAAAACACTTCGCTTCGGATGCGGTCCTAGTGATGGGAATAGCAAAGATTTGCTTCAAATGTAACCGGTGGGCCCAAATGCGGTTGCATGCCGCAATCCAGACACGGGGTGGGTACTTTAAAGCCCAACAAACAACGGCTGGCTCAGTTAACGGTTCATGCCTGTAATGTCAAGGATTGTCCATACCCGATGATGCGCCATTCATGTGGTGACACAACAGTCGTTTACCAAGACTTATCAGAGGTGGGTGAACAGACTGGAATGGGAACTTTAACGATTCGTGAAACTTTGCTAGCAACACCATTCTTGTCATCTCTGTACTGAGATTTTGTGAGTACGACTGTCTAGATCACTTTAAAGAGTGCGGTAGAACTAACCGGAGATAGAAGTTTATATGCAATGCAGGAGTACTAATTTCCTAGATTATTCGTGAACAATCATGTCCACTTACCTGAATTAAAGTTTTTAGTGTAGAGAAATTACGATCCATCTCTGAACTGCCGTAGGCGACAGTGAAGAGTTTGCCAGAATACGTTTGCAGCAGATGGTGGAAGTAGATGTATGTGGTTTCTTCAACAATATCCTGGTCGGTGCAGCCTGAGGATATCAAAGCCAAAATGGGTGCAACAATGTCGCACATGCCTTGAGTGTATCCGTCCTCCAAGTGCTCCCACAGATAGGTGAGCACCACGCGCCTCAGTATGTGAAGGTTATCGCTACCGCGTGAATCTGAAAATTAAGAGCATGCCGTCCATATTACCCTGAAACTCGACAACTTAAAGACGGCTCATTTATGCTTATGTTCACATTAGCACTTACAGTTATTAGAAAATAATGTGTTGTTCCGATCGCACCGGACGACATCTTTGTGAACCACTTCCATTATACGGCTAAATTGTACACGCGCATCGCTCTGGAACGAGAAAATATATTTATACTATATGAGAAGTTGGAGAAAAATCTTTAGCACATCGCAGCCTAACAAAACATGGGACAAACACAAGATTCTGAGAGACAATGAAACCGTTTTTAGCCGCACTACAAGCGTTAATCTCAAAGATGAAACCTTGAAATCACATAGTCGAAGACCCACTTCGCCCTCTGCTGTAAGCAAGAGGGTTCATTAATATTTTGGCCAACCGCGGTCTTACTCATCCAATGAACAATGAATTTATGTGAATTAAAAAGCGTTGCCTTACAAGTCCCGTTAGATAGTTGGTAGAGATCTCGAATAATAATAATAATAATAGTTAGTACTTCAAATATGAAAATAAGGACTTATCGTTTGCTCCTCTGTAGTTCGACAATTCACGTAGGTGCACAGCACCCACAGTTAACATCAAATAAATCCATTCTAAACTCTAAGAGTAGGGCGGAGACTTATTGCTAAGTAACAAAGTGTAAGTGGATAAGTGCGTCATCCAATCGTCCTTTAAATACTGTTAGTATCGGTGCAGAGACGACCGATTCTGGGTGAGCAGTCCAGTGAACTGGTTGTCACCATCTACCAACTGGGCTTACAGTTCTGCGCTTCCACCAATCAAAGCACTCAGTTGGGCAGTGTCTTGCATTGTCGACGAGTAGACCGCTTAATTATCTATTTTTTCACTGTCCGCAGATCTACGCGCGACATTCGGAATTCCATAGACCCCTTGGGTCCGTTGACTGTACCTGGAGTGACTCAATTCAATCAGTATTCGTCTCGGAAAACTGACATTACGCCGGCCGCTAGGCAAACGTCCCTCTTTCAATGCGTGTGAACACATGCCTTCCATTCAGCTCACTTTCGTTCACTTAAACAATTAATATCCGGGCATCGAAGTGCGGTGCATTCAGTTGTCATGACTCGCGTTTCCAAGACGGAAATAAATAAAAATGCTACGAAAAGGTGGTGGAACGAAGGAAAAGAAAAAATTAAAAAAGAAGTAAACTGAACCAGAATGGAATTATACTATTTTGATGCAAGAAGTCGAATGCCGGAGCACCTCTGACTGCACATTCGCACCATGTCCGATAGTCTTCAACCATTGATGCGGACTGTTTCGAGGCGTTATCCACGGTGGCGGTAAGTATCAGCATGACCAAATCTGTCAGCCAGTTTATTCACGCCTATATAATACGTAGTCGACTGGCCAACTCGCAATATAGAACAAGTTATTTAGCAGAGGTCACGTGTTTAACTAATGTTTCCCATATTGCTCGGCACTCAAAAAGTGTAAAATACTTCTTCTTTTTTGTATAACCCATCCGTGTCACCTGTGTACACGTAAGTATCAATACACGATTACATACAACACGGAAACTGGCATTACCGAAATGTACCAACAGGTTGGCACATTCTAAATTATGTTCTGATGCGATTGCGCTTTCCCCTATTCGTAAGACGCTTCCGCCGTGGGAAAATGATGTAATCGACTTTTAGTCTGAGAAGTAAAGCACGGCAATTTAGGCAAACAGCACAGAAACATATTTCTCAGATAGGTGGGATGCACACCAGACAGGGAGGGCGAAGTTCGAACAGACTGAATTGAGTGGGGTTTTATTCAATAATAGCCTACGGACAATACTAAACGAATTGCTTTGTAGTCACGCTACGTCTAGACGCATCCGTTCTGATTCTGATGCACAGATCGCAGTTGCATCCACCTAGGATAGACCTCGAAAAACGCATGGTTGTTTTAAGCTAAGTGGGCGGTATGGCCTAATGAAGGTGTTGGAATCGATCCGTTAAGTCCGAATTAGGGACGAATAAAAAGGAGCTATAAATGACTACTATCAAAAGCGCCATCCTATTGGGACGGTATCTGAACTCACGATGAATTCGGTTAGAAAAGAAGTACAGTTTCCAACGCATAAAGCTGCAGTTATTACACATCTACCATAGCCCGTTTCCTGCTTCCACGCTGACTATTGTAGAGTTCGTTCGGAAAGAGAGCGGTAGACTACCCAAAACGGTGTAAATACTGTCGTTAGCAATGCCGATGTTTCATTTACTCCTTCTGATTCATACGGAATAGAGCTGCCTGTTGGATCTCAAGTGTTTTGGCCTCATCCATGCAGTGTCAACAAGATACTGCCGGGTTTCATCGTAGAAAGTGTCCACAACTGTATGTCTAAAACTACCGGTATATCAATGAACAATGAACAATGATTTATCAAGGGATAAAAGCAAGTGCTTGACACGTCCCGTAGGATGGTAGCGGTGAATATGATGCAATTAAAATATGTCTGGGTCATCTATCGAACGTCTGCCGAGATGAATACTTTGATAATTAACATCAGTGTAAAATGAAAAAGAAATATCGCGCATAAACGTTCAGAAAGACACTGGGGTGCAGTGATCGTTGAGGTAAGGAGTGAGAAAATAAAATATGGTAGCTCACTTAGGTCCATTTGATACATTAGTCCTGTTGAAAACATGCTTGGCGTAATCCACAACAGAGGAGCTTAGGTAACAAAATGTTGGGAGCTGAGAGCAACATCTAATCGTTTTTTGAAAACATCCAGGGTAGGAGAGGATACAACTGAGTCTGGGAGTGCGTTCCATGGTTTGCAAACCCGAAGGGAAAAGTAATGCCGTCGACACTCTAGACGGCTATATTGTTCCTTCAACTTTAAGCTGTTACCCCTGAGCTGCGTGTTGTGGCTAAGTTTCAGCAAATGGCGGCATACGTGGTTGGGGTCACTCAATATCTGATACGCTAATATGAGATCGCCGCGCAGCCTTCGATAACGTCCGCTGAAAATTCCCAGCAACTTCAGCCTTCGGTGGTAAGAGTGATAGCGCAGACCCTGCACATTCTTTGTTGCTCTCCGTTGTGGTGCCTCTATCGCTTCTAGGTCACGCTTCAACCAAGGTTGCCAAGCTTGGATAGCGTATTCCAGATGCGGGTGCACGTAGGAATTGTGCATCATCGGGAAGATTGATGGGTCAAATCTCCCGAATGCCCCTCGCAGCATGCCGACGTGCTGGTTGCCTCTTTTCGTAGCTACCTCAGCCTGTTTTGAACAGTTGAGGTCGCTCTGTACGATCACACCAAGATCACGTTCCTGGGAGCTATTCTGCAATTCGTTTGTCCCAAGTATGTAGGTGTAGTTATGTCTATGGCGTAATTGTACTACGCGACATTTGTCTACGTTGAACGGTAGAGCGTTTGAACTGACCAGTTCGACACTGTTAAGATCGTGCTGGAGCCGTTCATGGTCATCCGGTCCTCTGATCCTTCGCCATATCTTGATATCATCAGCGAAAAATAAGAAATCGGAAGTAATTGATCTCGCCAAATCGTTAATGAACACCAAGAATAGACGAGGTCCAAGAACCGAGCCTTGTGGTACTCCACACATCACGTCGATTGCATGAGAAAATGACTCTCGTACTCTCACCACTAGCTGTCGTTCCTGTAGAAAATTACTAATCCAACTCAGGATTGGATCGCCAATGCCGTAGTTCCGAAGCTACTGAAGGAGAACTCGATGGTCTAAACGATCAAACGCTTTTGAAAAGTCCAGATAGATGACATCAACTCCAGCTCCGTCATCAACAGCTTCAGTCCAGCTATTACGTGCAATAATTAGGTTAGTATTACACGAATGCTTTTGACGAAAGCCATGATGCTCTGAGGCTATTAAATTGTGGCTTTCCAAATATTGCATCAGCGCGTCTGCGATAATTGATTCCATCACTTTGGATAGTACGGGAAGTAGTGTTATTGGACGGTAGTTTGCAGGATCAGTGCGGCTACCTCCTTTATGGATAGGAGTGATGACCCCTTGCTTTCATACTGGTGGAATAAGGTTTTCCTCTAGACATCGCTGATAGAAAACAGCCAGTGGTTCTGCTAGATCACTAGCTACCGTCTGCAGAGCCTTTGGTCGGATGTTATCAGCTCCGGGAGAACTGTGGATACGCAAGGATAACAACTTCTTCAACACAGCTTCAGTAGTGAAGGTGATGTTTTCTAAACCAGATGGTGGAGTATTAGAAATGAGGTGAATGTTTGGGCTCGACACTTGTTGCAACGTTTGGGAGTAATGAAGCCGTAGGAGATCAGCTGCTTCCATTGCTGACCGCGTGCATCCATCAGCTGTGACTAGCGCCGGAACCCCTCGCTTTACCTTTCGAAGGCCGTTAATGTGCCTGTACAGGAGTTTGTGGTTAGTGCAGAATCGCTTCATTAACTTCTGCTGATGCGTGACCTTGTCTTCGCGGATCAGTTTCACACAGAAGTTACGATGTGTCACGTATGCAGTCCAGGTTTTGGCATTCGGGCAGCCCTGGTGATTTCGCCATGCCGAATCCCTCCGGGACATACATTTACGTGTTCTACTCCTCGGTGCGGCGCCCATCACGACTAGAGCTTTGGGATATCAGTCGACACCCTTATTGGCAAAACAGTTTCTAAAATAGCGTTTTGCGACTTAGATAACGTGCCATCTGCAAAAATATTGATTAAAGCATAGTACATTGTCGGTTGTTAAAGACAATCAATTCACCAGCATTGTACGCTTTGCACAAATACAACAATAGTGCTAATAAATCAGGTTACTTCATCTCGCTATTGTGGTCCACTGCTCTCCTGAATATCCTCACCACAAGAGGAGACACTCAATGCGGATAAAAAACCAAACTACAGGAAATTCAGAACTGCTTGATCTATTGTTCTTCTTGCAGAGTCTAAACAGTCAAATTAATCACTTTCGTTACAGAATGACTTTTTGATACAGTCGGAATTGTGTTTAGCTTCGATTCAGCCCGCAATTGCAGTATCCCATATGCGACTCATGCTAACACATGTACCGGATGGATTTGTTGCGTGTATTGTGTGGGCAGTAATCCACTCTGTTGTGAATAGTTATCACAGTTATCCACATATCCCGTTAAAATCACCTAGTGTCACCATTAGTGGCAAATTCATTCCAGTTCGCTGTTTAACGTCAGTCCTCTGATTAGGCCACTTCAACAGAGTTGTAGAATGTAGTAAATGAAGGCTGTCGGTTCATGTTGGATGACTCATGCTGAGCTTGGACGTTCGATTTGCACGAGAGAGAACTAAAGTACTAAAAAATTAATGTTAGCGATGAGGAGGAGGAGGAGGAAGCACGATGACATTTCATCAAAGGACGCGTACCGCATTTGTTTGGTTTTTCTGCGCGGCTCAATGGTGCGGAGCGTTACTGCACAGATACAGCGGTGTTAGTTGGGCTACGTGGCTTGAAGTTCAACCGTATTCTCCAAACGTGTATTCACATTAGGGCGCTTCTGCCCTTAAGTTGTAATGCAAAGAAAATCGATATTTCGCTGCAGCATGGATAATTCTGATCAGAGAAAGCAGATGCTTTCTCCCGCGTCCCTATTCCAATGTTTGGAGTGAAGTTCCTAACGTTGTGATATGGTGTATGTATGCACTGTATATTGGGTCAACACTCAAGGCTCTTTTGGTATTTATCCAGGTACTGTACACGACATGAATCTTTATACGCATGGATAATGTTCATAAAGAAGATCGAGTATCATACGAATCGTCGAACTCTAAAGCTAAAACTAAAGACAATAAACAACACTATCCGTCATTTCGCATCCTTACTAGAAGTGTCGATGTAACTCAGTGAATTGGCTTCGCTCGCTAATACTCTGTTTTAAATAGTGTGTTCTTCAGTAAGTGTTTGTACGCTCTAAGTTTTATCTCCACGCTTTCTGACCTCTTTATCATTCGGTGTGTATGCAATAACGAATCCAACATATCTCGACGCTGACGATGCAACCACGTATGGTGACAAAGCTTCTGCAACCAAATTGCCAAGCTCGACGAACAAATGAACAACTGAGTCGTTAACCCTAGCTACCAGTATTGCGAAACAGTTTTCATTACGAACCTATTGCCTCTGGATGGCAGCAAAACATACCGATTAATTTGTTTGTTTCCCTTAACATGTGAGGATAATTGCTTGTTTACTCGTGGAACTGTTTCCAGTACTTATTGCCTTGGTTATCATCATTATTAGTGTTAACGGCTTTTTGTGTAGTACACTCATATGCACACCAATTGGTTTTGTCTGATACAAGGCTTGGAACGCATCGTTTCATTTTGCTAGCAATACTGCGTCCATGCAAAATAAACAGGGGTTGCGAAAGTTACCATTGTGGCCTAAACAAGAATATTTTCGCAGTCAAAATCATCTAACTTCTGTGAAGATGCAGCTCGGTGTACCTTCTGCAGACGGAACAGAGTGACTGGGTTAACGTAAGGCAACGCAGCGACTATTCTTACCCCGTCGGTTTGTGTGTCCTCCTCTGGGGCCATCTCGACTTCAAGGTTGTTAAATTCAACGCCGCTGCAATTGTCACATGCCGAGTGCAAATCACTACTAATTTCTTGCGATGCGTGCAACGTGAGCGAATGTTCTATTTCCAACCACTGCGACCTCATATTGCGATAGTGTGTACTCAGTTGCTTTAACTTGCTCTCCTTCTCATCTTCGGACATGGACCAATCGAATACCTGTAGCAAATAAGGCCAAACCTGTTCAAATGCAAAGCAAAATGTGGTACAGTTTGGTCAGATAAGTTCACAAGTAGAACAGTGAGGCTAACTGCTGGCGAAAATCTCAAATTTATTCACTATGATAGGATGCTCAGGGTCGGAACCCCAAAATAAAACATCAAAGCATCAATAAAACAAAGTTTGCATTCTCCGGCCGGTCATGATGCACCCATCAGGATATGTCAAGCTGTCTACCTTTTTTGCAGATTTTGCCTAGATGACTTACAGTATACTGGGTTAGATCATCTCTCGAAGAACAGACTACCGCAACATCAACTAATTTTCTACTACAGATAACTCATGTGCAGAAATAATAGAACTGTAGATGGCGATCCAAGGTAGTCACACTCGAAAGAGGGAATGATTCTGACCATATTCAAAAAGGCTATACTGGATGGCCAACACCAACTGATGTCCTCATACTGGTGTGTTGACTATCCTATGGGGTTCCTGGGGATTTAGTGAGATAGCATGTTCTCCGATGCCGTCCGGTTTACACGTGCAGAACATTCGGTGAGTATGGGAGGGGATAAGTTATTGACATCACTGGTAGCTCTTCACTCTGTATTTTGAAGCCCACTGAGATCTTGTTTCTGAGGACGCTACCTGACTTGGTCTGCGTATCTCACGTGAAGTATAAAACAGCAGTGAGATAAAGTGTGGCCCCACTCAGATGTTCTCTACAAGAGAGCGAAATGTCAGGACATAAGTTTCCCGGATAAATACCAGCATATGAGTAGCTGAGGTGAATTGCGGCAATAACTAATGACAAAACGTCCACCTCGTTTCTGAATACACAAGCATACCGTGTGACTCGTCGACCTAAAAGCAACTTGACGAAAACCGTGTTACTGTCTGTAGCAGTTAACCTAGTTATACTAGGTGGAACCATTAATACAGCTGCGGTCTCAGCACTTAGGACTTGCACGCTTTTTGCCGTGGTCGCTGATTTCAAAACTGGTCTAGAGCGCCATTGGGATGCACGTTTGTAGTTAACCTGAAATTCATAGAACTTTAGATATCCACCCATTTGTTAGAGAGAAGATTCAAACAGCAAGGATGTCTCCGCAGAATGTCGCCTGAAACTGCCTTTGGAACGGCAAGCTCGAGTACAACTATAATTGAATATAGAAGAATATTTGACACAGCAGCTCCCTCTGCAGTCGACAGACAAATTCACAAAACACGTTATTCTGCATACCTAGTTTACTTTAGAACACAACCACAAAATTTCGTGATTATGATGATTCTGACTGCACATGGGTGCACATTCTTGACACTTGACTTGACTTGTAGTTCACTTGCTAGGGTGATGGATTCGCGGTGGATTTCTGCTATCGCGGGGATTCTCTGGAAGTTAGCTTGCCGTGATGCAAACCCAGCACAACAACACTTAAGACACATTGGTCAGTTGCCGCTAAATCAGTCGTGGCACTCTATATTTGCTGAAGCTTGGCCACCGTTGACAAACACATGTTGGTGGGTCTGCGTCAAGGCAAACAAAGCACACAGGCTCTGACAGACACTGTTAACTGTGATTGTAAACGATCTTTCTCGGACGGCAAATTGGAATGTCAGTTTTATTATAACGTTATAGGATCAGAAAGAGGTTGTGAATCCTACGCGTTTACTGTTAGCTTAAACCAGGGTACTGATGTAACTTTAAAGGTCCTCATTACAGAAGGTAAGCATTGACCGACGCTGAGATGCAACACGGTCCAGATCGAGAAAAAGACTTCTGCGAAGCCTGGAAAAGTTCATGTTGTGAAAATGGACTGGCATAGAATAGCTAGTGGACCCCTCTAGAGGGATTTTGGCAACCAGCCAAGTTGCTGCAAGTTATTTCATGAATGACACTTGTATATGCATGCCGATTCAAACAACACTTATATCAGGATACTACACAAAGGGTCATGACGGAACATTTAACCGTAGGGTTCGATCACGAGATATAAGCGACAAATTCGTTTGAGACTTGGGTAGCGCGTAGAACTCCCTGGTCAAATCAAAAGGTTGCCAAAAGTTAACGGACCAAAAGGATTTCAAAATGTATGGGGGGCTACCCTCAACATAACACGCTCGGTAGTGAAACAACCGCGGCTTCACATGGTACACAAGGAGAGTGCGAATCGCCGTACATGACAGACCAACCACAAAGCCAATGTCGATAAGCGGATCACAGAGGTGACACAAAGCCGCAAAACCCCATGCAATGACGTGGTCGATGTACGACATGCCGTTTACGGGTGACTTCATTGGGGCGATGTGTCACGTGGGTGGTGGGTGCAAAGGCGTGAACGAACAGACGACAGGCAGGTGTGACAGGTGAGGCAAGCTGCGTTGGTGGATGGATGGATGGATGGATGGATGGATGGATGGATGGATGGATGGATGGATGGATGGATGGATGGATGGATGGATGGATGGATGGATGGATGGATGGATGGATGGATGGATGGATGGATGGAGTGAGGTGCACACCAGGAAGCCATGGGCGACTACGAATGGGACAAGCAGATGGCAAGCTGAGTTTTCGCAGATGGTGCAGGTCTCAGTTCTGGTGATACAACTATCGGCTTGTATGGTAATTTGCCATTTACAGTGAGTGCGCCAAGACGAAAAGAGAAAGCCGTGGGCGGAATGCTTAATGGCTTCTGTAATTGGCTGCTGTAAATTTCGCTTCACGGTTTGAAGAAATTGTCACGGTGCTCGCGAACGCTTGGTCTTCTGAATGGCAATTTAGTAATTCCTTGGACGCACACACTAGTTCGAGAGGAATGTGGAATCACAGCTGGAGGTAGGAGCCTATTCTCACAATGAGTCCAGTGGCTGGTTGACTAGCTCACCCACCACATTGCGCGCAGCGGTAGGAGAACATCCGAATTCGCTCTGTGACCGACCACCTCAACCTATGTCCCATAGGAATAAAAAGGTTCGAAAAACCGGGACTCTGCTATTTCGTTGAATCAGATGTACAACCTTGGTTAATTCAGTCCCCAATGCAGGTTGGCTTCGTCCCTGAACCCAACGACGAAATCCCAGGAAAGAACGGCACTTTTACCGTGGCAGGGATAAAAGGTCATCCCATTGATGCATGAGCTGAACAATCGAACAGCCCATTCCGTAGCGACGTCACATGATGTGGGGGTAATATAACTGATGACAGGTATTCACCATACAAGTCAGTTCTAACTCGTTGTATAAGCCACAGGATACTGCGTATCGGGATGTTATTGAGTTTGCGTTTCACACTGACCGTACAGTTGGACTTCAAGGATGTTAGGACAAGACGCTCGTTGTTATAGTTTCTAGGCCGTAACGCTTGTTGATTTAACGGAATATTAGGTTCGCATACGAGCGCCACAATTTCCTTTTCGTAAATTGGACCTTAATGACCAGAATGCCACTTCACCATCGGTTGTACACAACCAAAAGTAGTGTACCTTCATCGCAATGCTTGGAGCACCTTTAACTAGTGTATCGTAAGTAGGAACACGGGCAAGCAAAGGACACAGCTGTAATGGGTACCCACGACCAAGTCACTGGTTCGCTTGATAACATGGACATTTATTCACACACGAGTCTTGTGCGTGACCAGACAGACCGTGGCTCGTGAACACCAATCACAACATAGTGAATCGTACCAGTTTGGTCACAAACGGAATTCCATTACCCCAATTATTGATGCTGACTGGAGTTTTGAGGCTTCATTAGTGAACACATGAAGTCAAGTCAAGAATGCGCATTTATGCACACGTGACGGGTGAATTTTCAATCCTTCTTTTGATAAGTTTTGTCTTGCATCGAACTGTGTTTGACAGTATGGTGCTCCATGGTAGCATATCAGCTATGCTGGTACATATGAGTCTTTGTTATCCCCAGAGATGTCACCTTCTGACGTAACACGAATGGCAGGTTAATAGTAGACAGAGCACGGATGTGTTTCAACTTAGATCAAAGAATAGGTAAAGACATGAAAGTGCGCATTCCATGTAGACTATTGAACAAGTGGACGCCGGTGATTGTATATACCAGGCGTGGAAACACACACGCTAATTAAGTTATACGACGCATCAGACAGACAAGGAATGATGGTGGCGACAGTATGGTTGAAAACGCCTGACCATTTAGGTGCGGTTAGACGTCCCAGCTGATTGAACACACACGGATGAACATCGCGGATGAGAGCTTCGAGTTTAGCTCAGTCGCGTAGGAACGGCCCCATTCATGAAGAGTGAAACAAGTAAATCATTCATATGCTCGAAAAATGTGCACTCCGGTGCTTTTAATAGGGAGGTAAGAGTGGTGGCTAGAGCAAATAGACACTTGACTATATACTTGAAACAAGGGGAGTTAATTGCAAAGTCGACGAAAAACGTGCTGAAACGTTGCAGTCGTTTGAGCCGGCGGGATCTTTATTTGGACTTGCATAGACAAAAAGCTATCCGCTACAACTGGCCGCTAGTTAGATATCTAGTACATTAGACATCGGAGTAGGCACCGTATGCACTTGGCATGCATACAGTGGACAGTATGTGAGGAAATGCCATATATATATATATATATATATATATATATATATATATATATATATATATATATATATATATATATATATATATATATATATATATATATATATATATATATATATATATATGGTTGGCGGCATCCGGTTTCGGCTTTGCCTGGCACTGTGGCAAGCCACAGGACGCCTGCGCCTACAGAGGGACCATGGGTGGCTTGCGCTGCACCACCCACAGCTCCAACCACACACCCCATATCCAGTGTAAACCCGAAGGAATAAGACCGGGAGGCATGCGGATGGGAGCCAGGTTTCATCAACGGAGCCGGCCCACACTCCTTCACAGGCAAACACAAGCACGCTGTATTTGGGGAATCAAGCGCACACAAGGCGGTGGCTGGACCGTAGTCCGCTCCACACTGAGTGCATGGAACCGCTCTTTGAGCCTAGCACG